CACAACCTCATCTTATCACATTACCTGATTTTGTAATAAAACAATTCTTCATGTGTTACCAGCATCTTATATTGAAATTTTTTAAAATAAGTAATATATAGGAACTATGCCAGTTTTGAGATTTCAAATACTAGCTCTAATTTTAAAAAAGGAAATAGTTATGTTGACTATTCTATGTCCACGTGTTCATGATTTTGAAATAGCTATCTCCACTTTAGTTGGAAGCTATAGATTTTATAAGGACAGAACTGCAAATTTTCAAATAAAGAACATAGATAATTTAGCAATACCCTATAAATTAAAAAGTACAGCATACACTGGCATTTTATGGCTATTTTCAAAAAAAGTTAAAAAAATAGTTAGATATTTTTAAATATGTTAAATATCCATTTTTGAATGCCATAAAAATCACATTATACAATTTGGCTATTGTAATGCAAAATCGAAAATAAATTCTACAGAGGTAAAAATACCAATTCTATAAAAGAACACATTATACTTAGCTCTGCACCTCCTGTCAACCAAAACATAAAGAAAAACACAAGTTACATAACTCCTACCATATGACCAAAAGAAGCACACTATTTCTGTCAATATTTGGGGAATAGAGAAAGATTAGGGTAGATATATTATTATTTAGGGTTCCCTGAAGCAGCAACCAACACATCATTGATCAGCACTTAGTCACCCCGCTACTTCTAGCTCTCAGAGGAATTGTGAAATATCCAGTTGGGACAACTGATGTCCTTCTGAAATCCGGGATTTCTAGAACCGAAGAAGAATATGAAAATAGATATGAGGGGCAGCCAGAGTTGTCTGTTACAATAAAGTTTCTGCAATTATCATTTGAACTTCTCTTGGCTTCTAAGCTCCTCTCTTTTCTAGGCTATTCTGCTTTAAAGGCCTCTCTTTGTCATTATTTCCCCTGTCTTTAGTTCTCTGGAAGCAGATGCTGAGTTAGAGTTTAATATACAAGATGTACATTAAGGATCAATGACTATGAAATAAAGAGAAATGTCAGAGGGAGAAGGCAATGCAGGACCAACAGAGCTGTGGTCTACCCAGTGGGGTGCTCTGAAACAAATATTACTGTGGTCAGAGTTGTCCCAAATTGTGGCAAAAATGACTGAGCTTTGATACACTGGTCATCCAGCTGGCCACTGGATGAAGGCTGCTTCAGAAGGAGTGTGATGCTAGGTAGCTAGAGGCCTGCTGATGATCCTCCCTGCAGCTGGGCTGACAGTTTCTCTTTGCAGGGAAATCTAGGCTGCACCCTTCCTTGTCAACCACCTCTCGGTCCTCAGACCTCCCCTCGTCTTTATTTCCAGCTACCCCCTGGGTGATATGATCTTGTGTTTAAACTACTGTGGATCTGGACTTCTTCCCTCCCATTACTCCAGATTTCCTCTTGGTGTGTAATGGGTATCTAAAACTTAACACCGAAGACTGAAAATTGGACTCCTGATTCCCTCCTTTTTCCTCCTAATATTTTATCCCTGTCTTCCACATGTTAGAGTTAAAAAGGGTTAGGGTTAAAAAGTTGGTTTCACCTTTGAGTTCTTTCCTTTTCTCTTGTTGTATATTCAATGCACCAAACTCTCTTCTCTACCTTAAAAATGCCCAGAATCTGACTACTTCTCACCACTTCCATGATTACCTCTTTATTCCAAGCACTGTCCTCTTTTGCTGTGATTATTGTATGCTTTGAATGAATAGGATGAGGTCTCTTGTTATTCATCTATATTAGACTAATATTTCTGTCATAATCGTTTTGATGTATTTTAGAGGAAAAATCCTATTGGTGCGTTTCATTGATATTTCAATTTCAATGGTCTTAAACCTATAAACTAAGTTAGGGAGAACTGACATTGTTACAATATTTAATCTCTCCATTTGGGAAATAAAAAACTTCTTTTGGGCCTCCCCGGTGGCGCAGCAGTTGAGCGCTGGGTTGCGAAGCTGCCCGGAGCCTCTGCAGCACCGGTTCGATCCCCGGCTGCTCCCCTACCACCGGAGGAGGGTCCCACATGGCGCGCAGACCTCTCCTGCCACCCGCTGCTCCCCTCAGCAGTGTATTTCGTCAGTCTGTCTGTTCTGTTCCCCACTCTGGCTCTGGTGAATCCTCTCACCCTCCTGCACTTCTGACTGTACCCAGTGCTTGTATAAATAAATAAACAAATAAATAAATAAATCTTTAAAAAAAAAAAAAACTTTTATCTTTCAGTTGATCTATAATTTCCTTTATTTATGTCATACGTTTCTCTTGTTAACTTTTTCTGACGTGTGTTTACATTTTGGATGTCATTGTGAACGGCATCATTCTTGTAATTTCTAGTTTGCTTACTCATTGAGTGGCGGGAGTAACTGAGTACAAAGTGGTAGCCTGTAGCCTATCCTTCTGGTGGTCTTTGAAATCCAAGTTTAAAAAAAAAAACTGAGCCTCAGTAAAATCTCATGGGATGGCATATGCAACCTTCAACCCTCAGCAAAATGTAGTCATGTGAATCAGAGATTAAAACTCAATGTTCTGGGCCTCACCAGTGGTGCAGGGGTTAAAGACACAGTGATATCAAGCTATCCACAGCCACTCTAGCACGAGTTCGATCCCTGGTCAGGGAGCTAACCCACATGGTGAGCAGACATCTCCTGTCTCGTCCACTGCTCCCCTCAGCTGTGTATTTCAGATGGTCCAACTATTCTGTTCCCCACTCTGTCTGGTGAATCCTCTTACCTCCTGCACCTCTGGCCTACATGCCAGCTCTTGTATGCATAAATAAATAAATTTTAAAAAAATAAAAAATGTTCCAAGTGTATGCATTTGCTAAAACTTGTCAAATGGTACATTTGAGGTCTGTGCATTTCACTGTATGTAAATTTTACCACAAAAAAGACCGATGAGCAAACATTAAACCCGAGCTAATGAGAGTCCTGTTAAAGTGTTTAGTGGCAGAATGTACTCATGTTTGCAATTCTAAACTGCATAAAAACATAAATTGGACTAGATGATAGAACAGTGAATAGATAAGTAGATAGCTATCTAATAAAGCAAATACTCCAATATTTTATTATAGAATATAAGTGGTGAGAGTATATAAGTGATTGTTATAATTTTTATCACATTTTTGGTATGTTTGAAGTTTTTCACAATACAAAACTGGAAGAAAAATGTATTACTAACTATTCAGTCTGTTGAAGTGTCCTGGACTTCAACATTTCACTGGCTTTTCTCTCCCTCAAAGAAAGCCTCTGCCGTGGTGACCTGCCTTTTGTTTATTAGTGGTAAAGTGAGAACAACTTCGATTTTTCTGTTCTATGCTTCTATCCTAAGTCTTTTAAAATATTTTTTTAAGATTTATTTATTTATTTATTTATTTATACAAGCACTGGGTACAGTCAGAAGCACAGGAGTGTGAGAGAATTCACCAGAGCCAGAGCGGGGAACAGAACAGGCAAACTGACGAAGCACACTGCTGAGGGGAGCAGCGGACGGCAGGAGAGGTCTGCGTGCCTCTTTTAAAATTAACATGTTGGGGGCGTAATGTCCTAGCACTCAGTGTGATCTAGCACCTGCAAGCAGTCCCAGACACAGCTCTCAGCCTTCACTGTAGATTGTTTCAGTTTTCTTTGTAGGTTGGCTCATCATCCAAATACAAGGATGCAACTTACTACTATAGCTCCTTTAAATTGTGGAATGAATCACAAGTCAAACTTATTCTTTTCATTTGCTAGCATGCAAGATTTAAAATATTGCTCCCAGGTCTCTGCATTGCTTCTTTTGCTTGTAAGGTTAATAATAGATAAAGGAAAGGTGAATTAAATGGAGAATGGTTCTGAGTTTTCAACTCCCAGATCTTTCTAAATGTACCCTTTCTCCAGTTGATCACAGTCACCCAGGGATGGGTAGAACCTGTAAGTTTTCATAATTACTTTCCTTTGATATAATCCCTTTCATTCATTTTTTAAAAGATTTATTTATTTATTTATACAAGCACTGGGTACAGTCAGAAGCGCAGGAGGGTGAGAGTACCCACCAGAGCCAGAGCAGGGAACAGAACAGGCAGAATGACGAAATACACTGCTGAGGGGAGCAGCAGGCACGGCAGGAGAGGTCTGTCACGCCATGTGGGACCCTCGCTGGTTGTTGGGGATCAAACTGGCACTGCAGAGGCTGCGGGCAGCCTCGCAGCCCCAAGCTCAACCACTGCACCATCAGGGGAGGCCCCCCTTTCATTCATCTTAATCATAATTCTGACACTTTGTAGTCTTGTTTGCTTTTTCACAAGTCTGTGCTTTTTTTTTTTTAAGTGGGGAAAGTCTTTTATGCAGCTGTCCCAGATATGAGAAAGAAGCAAGATTTTTATAAATTTTCTTAAATATCACCATCTCCAATCACTCACTCAAACCTGATGTTAATCAGATTAGATATGACAGGCAGAAATATGTGACAGGCAGAAAGTAGGTAGTCTACACATATATGTTATGATTTCCTCTTGTCTTAGTTTTGGTTATTACCCCCAAAGAAGTATACAAAAGGTGGCACTGACCTAGCTTTTAGTACTTGCTAAGTGGTTATAAAACACTTTGTGACTAAGCCCTTCTCCCACCAGCCTACAGATGAGGTGAGGTTAATGATAAGAATCACTTTTGGAAGAGTTATTGAAATGCTATTCACTGAAATTTTCCCAACCTGCCCCACCTTAAATGAGATAAGGAGCATAGGAGAATGTCTCAGAGCAGTCGCCATGTGTCTCCAAGAGTTCGGAGGGCCTGTAAACTAATTTGTACTTGGAAGAGTCTAAAGTCAAGTGCTAGTCAGAGTTACCGCAGATGTCAGAGTGACCAGTGAAAGCTATAATGGGAATTGCCAGCATTTTCACAAGTATTTCAAGTGAACCAGAGTGAATACTACAGTAGGTAACCGAATGAGTTGTCTGAAAGCATCCTCATTCTAGAGTTCTGTCTCCTTGACAAGATGGCACTAAGTTGTTGGTGTTGGTGGTATGGTGGTGAGCATAGCTGCCTTGCAAGATGGCACTAAGAGAAAGTGTGCTTCTGTAAAGTCAGAAACAGGAGTCATGGGGAGAGTTGTGGGGTCAGCTAGAAAACCCTGCATGCATCAGGGATCAATAGTGTAGTAGGTAGCTCTAGTGGAAATCTTTGAACAATCCACAAAACAGCCCATGAGAGAAAGAGCTGGCAACTCTGCATTTGTTAGACAGAGAGCCTACACTACCATGACTGTAGTCAAGTGGAGTGACTGGGGGAAGAGAGAACAAGTAGAACATCTTGGTTAATCTTGATTATAGTCCCCATACAATTCCCACCCCCCTTGTTTTGATCCTAGTCCCTCCTCCTCTGCCC